TGAGCCCTGTAGCTCAGTGGTTGCCTTCGCTCCACCGGATCTGGCCTCCCTCCTTGTCCCCCGAATCCTCTGCTCCACCATCGGCGGCCGTGCCTTCAGCCACTACACCCCGAAGCTCTGGAACTCCCTTCCTCACTCCCTTCGCCTCGCCCCCTCTCTTCCTGTTTTCTGGTCTCGGTTAAAGACCTTTTTTTTCGACCGCGCCTTTGGTCACCTTCTTCCCCCTGGCTCAGCCCCGGGATCCATTATTTTGAAGCACTCTGAGATGCCGTTCGGTGTGGAGAGCGCTATATAAATCTAAGTTGTTGGTTAGAGCACTCGCCTCACAAGTGAGAGACCTGGGTTTGTTTCCTGGCAGAGCGAAACCTTGAGTGAGTTTCCTTACTGATAATAATCCCTCAAGAAATAAAACAATAATTTGGTCACTTCAATCCTCGATTGTTTGTGGATTTGCTGCCACATTTCACCCACAAAATATACAGTCAATTAACTTTACAGTATATTCTGTGAAGCTCTTTGAGACATCTAGAAGATGTGAAAAGCGCTGTATCAAATGCAAGCATTATTATTGTTGAGTTTTGTGTATAATTCTCACCCATAATTACCGAAGTAAAGGATTAGGAATAATATACGGAACATGTAAATAAAAACTGCAGAAAACACTTAATTAAAAATTTTACTTTATTTTCTTTAAAATTTAGTACAGTTTAAAATATTTTGATTATGGTCTTGAGGCTAAGCACGAGGAGAATAGCCTCTTGATATTTTACCACCCTCCTTAGCTCTGAAATCTTGAAGGTAAATTTTAGCACCACAGGTAGAAGAATTGAATATGGGTTTGGGACGGTGCATGTATAGGAAGTGATCATGAAATTTACAGAAGATCCTGCAATCTGATGAGTACAAGACTTGACCCTTATTATTCAAAGGAGTCTGTCTGGTCTGAACTGTATTGTAAAAGGCACCCTCTCTACAGATTAATCTTTAAATGTTTATTATCGAACAGTTGATTTGAGAGGGCTGTAAGGGCAGTTAATATAAAACAATTGTGCTTAAGTTTTTTTTTCTAATTGCCAACTTCTTAAATTGATAGTGGGTTAATACAGAAAATTGTCATGAGATTAAAATGATTTGAATGCGTTTTTACTATGTTTATACGCAGCCTGGGCAAAGGTGTAGGTGACCCGATGATGTGAGCTAACACAACGGATGCAGAACAATGCTGCATTGTATCAAGTTCAACTGATTCATTATTCATAATGCATATACATTTTACATTTTCATTCTGTCTTTTGTGTTGTTCTGTGACTTCTGTTTCTTCAACTGTGTTTTGCCCCAATTTATTATTTAAGTGCTATGCCTGTAGGGTTCTGTGATAATCAGGGATGATCTGCTCTTCTTTAGGACTGGAAAAACACGAATGATGTTGTCTGACAAGTGCTGGCTCCTGTTGCTGCAGCAATTAATTGGTTTGGATTAAAACTTTGTTTGGAGCAAAGTTCAACAATGCTCCTCCGTGTATCATAAAACAGAAGGGATATAAACAGTGATATGTATTCTTCAGCTAACTTCAATAGTAAGTCTTATACTGGAGTCCTGTAGCTCAGTGGTTAGAGCACTCGCTTTGCAAGCGAGACACTTGGGTTCAATCCCAGGCAGAGGGCGAAACCTTGGACAAGTTTCCTTACTCCACACAGAGCCTAATAATAATCCCTCCAAAACAAACGAAAACAATAATAAATTGGTCTTTTTCAATCCACGACTGTTTGTGGGACACTGCTGTGCGCAATTGCCGTATTTCACCCACAAATATACGGTCAATTCACTTTGCAGCATATTCTGTGAAGCGCTTTGAGACGTCTAGAAACTGTGAAAAGCGCTGTATCAAATGCAAGGATTATTATTATTACACTTGTTATAGTGCATTAGCACATCATCAAAAGGCCATGAAAGTACATAACAGGATTTACTATAAAGTGTATTGACTGTTCTGGAAGTGAACATAACTAGGAACTACTTAGAGAATAACACAACTGGAACTACTTGTAATCACTTTCCTCTACCTCCATTTAGTTTACTCTCCTGGAGACTTTGACACAAGCTAGGATATAGTTCAACAGTTGCCTCAATACCTCACTTGCAGCCAACACGCACATGTAAATTTTCCAACACGTTCTTTGATAACGATTGGGATAAGGCAACACTGTTGTGTTTTTAATTCAACACTGGAGCCCAGGGGTGTTAATTGTAGTGCTACATTAAAATTGCGTTAAGCCTTTAGGCCATCAGGGAACTTTTGCATCCCCTGCCCATCAACAAAACAACATTCATAAACCACTCAAACGTCACTTCTTGTATTATTGTGTGAAGAATTCGGAAGGTTTGCAGCCCTGTTGACTTTCGTGTGTAGCCTTGGATTGTGTATACAATGTACACATTTGCTTTCAAAATACACAGTTTGCTACGCTCTACAGTAATTCCTGTGAAGCAGTTGGAATCTCAAAGATCTGATGAGGTGTTATGTGAAATGCAACGATTATTTTCAGTGATTAAAGAATAACAATCTGTTGTGCCAGCATAAGACTTGTAAAGTATAACAAGAACTCGCATTTATCGAGCTTCCTTCATGTAGGATAATATCTGGAGTCCTATAGCTCAGTGGTTAGAGCACTCGCCTTGCAAGCGAGATACCTGGGTTCAATTCCAGGCAGGGCGAAACCTTGGACAAGTTTCCTTACTCTACACGCCTAATAATAATCCCTCGAAAAAAACAAAAACCAAAATAAATTAATCATTTTCAATCCACGACTGTTTGTGGGACACTGCTGTGCACAATTGGCTGCCGCGTTTCGCCCACAAATATACAGTCAATTCACTTTACAGTATATTCTGTGAAGCTCTTTGAAACGTTGAGAAGACGTGAAAAGCACTATATTAAATGCAAGGATTATTATTATTATCTTGGCGCACTGCACAGTGTTAGGGTTGAATTCTAAGCAAGAAGGGAGGGAGAGGTCATAATAGACGTGGATGAGAGGTAGACTTTCAGGTCAGATTTAAAGAGGATGAGGCGAAGGAAGTCAGAGGCAGGGAGTTCCAGAGATTAGGGGCATAATTGTAGTGCAGAGGGGTTTGGGCAAGCCTATGTTTGCTGAGTGAAGGGGTGGGCAGAGAAGTGAGGTATGAGGACATCAGAGAGATAGGGTTGTACTCGGGCTTGAAGGAATTTATATTTCAGGGTGAGGATTTTGGAAAAATGTCAATCCATTTGGAGTTAGTGGCGTCCAATGAGGATTGGGGCATGTAGAGTCTTGTAAGTGTTGTGCAAGAAGCCATTCCATAATAATGGGTGGGACATTGGCCATTTCTGTGCTTGATGTCAAAGCTTCTCTGACATCAGCAGGTATCTGTAAGCAGGACTGGTTTACCCAGGTTTTATGGCAGATCTATTCAGAGAATCCGACGAATAGCTTCACTGAGCATCATTTCTCAGTGTGACATTCCACATGTATGTCTGAGGATAGTGGGGTACACCAAATGTGAAATTATTCAAAAAGAGGCAATGGCAGCTCAGTTCACAATCCTGCAGTGAAAGATGTACCGCAGAATAGAACTCTAGGATATTTACATCGCAAGAAGTTTCATTGCATTTGTGCTGATATATGTATCGTTTCCTTGCTCTTTCCCCATTATGTTTTAAACTCATCTAAAAAATTATTTCTGGCTACACCTTAGGCCACCTCCCCTCACCCCCGTCCCCCGGCTTCCATACCGCAAATTATTTTGAGATGTTGTCCTATGTGAAAGGCAAGATGTTATGGCCTTGGCGTCAAGAATGATTTCAGATCAAGCATTCCATATTGTAGCAACCTTCCTAGAAGAAAAAAATCTAATTCCCCCTTTCCTGCTCTCTTGGTTCAACAATCAGTGGGAGTAATCTTTTTTTACACTTATTTTCGGTCTTGAGCATGTCATCTGTTCCGCATTCCTATAATAAATACATTACGAAACAAAATGTAATTTGTTTCAAGAACAACTTAGATAGATTTCTGCTCGAAAATAATATCTCAGGGTACAAATGTATAGTTTGGGACGTGACATGTCTCGCGACTGCCAGGATGGTGGAAGGCGAACGAGATGGATCTTGGTCTTTCTCCTGGCAAATCCGAATGTTCTTATGTAAATGGGCGGAAGACTGTAGCTCAGTGGTTAGAGCAGTCGCCTCGCAAGCGAGAGACCCGGGTTCGATTCCCGGCCGGGCCGAAACCTTGGGCGAGTGTCCTCACTCCACCCGCCCGATGACAGTCCCTCAAGAAAAGAAACAAACCACAGTAAAACCGGTCACTTCAATCCACGGCTGTTTGCGGGACACCGCTGTGCCCAAACCGTCTGCCGCGTTTCGCCCCTCAAAAGATACAGCCAATTCACTTCACGGTCAGGCGCTTCGAGGCGTCTGAGACGCTGCGCCCTGTCCAGCGCCGCGGGACGTCCTCCCGGCGTGAAGAGGCGCTGTACGAGATGTGAGCGTGTTGTTGTTGTTGTCGTTGTTGTATCACAGGCAAAGGATCATCACAGGAGCACAAAAGTCACGTGGTGCCACCCACCCTCCTGGAATGTTAATAGCCTTGAGGGCGGGGGGGGGCGGGGCGTGGTGTGGGCGGGGCTCCGCATGCTAATGAGGCGCGTCGCGCGCATGCTCATTCGCGGGCGAGCGGCGGCGGCGCATGCGCACCGCCTGCCAGGGACGGGAGTCGGCGGACCGGGTCGCAGGGCGCGTGCGCGGCCGGAGGGCGGTGCCGGCGCAAGTGGCGCGAGTGGGTGGGGAGGTGTCGCCGAGGCGCGTGTGCGCGGCGGCGGTTGGTGGGCGGGAGGGAGAGAGGGAGGAGAGAGGGAAAGGAGTCCAACAGCCGACCAACCGCCGCTTTTGTTTCGTGGCCTCAGCCTCTCTCCGGACGTCGGCAAAAGCAGCAGCGCGGCGGCGGCGGCGGCGATCTCTCTCCCTCTCCACATGGGGGGCAAGAGTGGGCGGGGGTTTCGGGGTCGAGTCTCTTGAACGTTGGGGCCGCGGCGCTCGGCGACTGACCGACCGACCGACCCGACCCGACCCGGACGGTAAGAGCTCCTTTTTTTGTGTGTTGTGTGTGTAAAAAAATAAGAAAACACCGACTCGCTCGGGGTGGGGGTGGGGGGGGGTTGGAGGGACGGTCCGGTCCGCCCGGCGGCTCACCCCACCCCAGGCCCCGGCTTGGCGTCACAGTGTCAGTGTTCCTACCTCAGGGCCGGTCTGTCTGCCGCCGGTGCCGCCGGTGCCGGTGAGGCTCAGGAGGAGGAGAAGCCGCCGCCGCCGCCTTCCCTGGACTCTCACCTCGGGAAAAAAAAAAGCCTTTCAAACCGGCGCCGGGGCTCTTTGCCGACCACCGGGGAGTGAGGGGGGAGGTGGTGGTGGGGGTTTGGTTACGGTTTGAACGCAAACAACCCCACATACTCCCGTTGCTATGGCAGCCCCCGGAGTGGGCTGGTGGTGCTGGTGGTGCTGGTGGTGGGAGTGGGGGTTTCGACGCACTGATCTTTTGTGGGAGTTATGGTTGTACGTCGTGTTTTTTTTAAAAAAAAGCCTTTCCAGGGTTTAAAAAAAATATATACTTTGTCCGTCTTTTTTTTGAAGGGTGACCATAAATAAAGGCACGTCGGTGGAGGGGAGGGTGCAGTTCCCATGGGTGCCGGGCACGTCGATTTAAGTGGCTGTTATTTTATTTTAATATATATGTGTATGTTCAGGTTATTTTGCACGAGTTCCTCAGGCGGTGAGTGCCCGGGACAGCACGACGTGACTTTGACTTGGGCCGAGGAAGGTGGACACAGCGGCCCAAACGGACCCCCCGGTTCTGCTTTCACCTGATTATCTGGTCAGTGGGTGACCCGGTCAGTCACCCTGTGGTGATTGCTTAACGTGTGTCCCCCCCCACTCTTCCCCCAAAGCCTGGGTTTGTGGAGACTATTTACATGTGGAGCCGCAGTTGGAAGTTTGGACGTGTTGGCTCTTTTTGTGTGTGTGTGTGTGTGTGGTTCGCTTTCTTTTTTTTTCGCGAGAGGTGAGTGTGGATTCTTCAGCAACTGTGGCGTTCAGGGAGTTATCAGACGGACTGAAGTCCACCACTTGCGATAGTAACAGGGATCGATGTTGTAACGCGACCACATTTATTCCGATTCAGTTGCTGGAGAAACAGGATGGGCAGTGCCCTGGGGCTTCTGTGCTTGAATGAAACCCCGAATCTCTCAGTTGTGCTTTTTTTTTGAATGTATGGGAGCTCACGGTGTGACATTTTATTTATTTGATGAGAGAGAGAGAGAGGGGGGGGGGGGTGGGGGGAGCCTGATTGTGTTTGGGCTTTGGAGTTTATGTGGGGGGGAAAAAGGTGCGAAATTCAGTTCATTCCAAAAGAATAAACCGTTTCACAGAATTAAGTCTGAGTAGTTCTGTCAGAAGCTTGACTATCGTATAACGTACAGTGATCTTTCCCCATCATTAAATCACTGGTTCAATTTGTGGAGAGCACTGCCTCCGGTCTAAATTATTTCTGTATCGTGATGCCTACTGTGTGCTGATGCAGTTTGGGCAGTAAATCTCCCACAGTGTACAATAAGTACTTTTTATCTGGGGCAGTTAATGTTTGTAAGCCAAGACTAACCTAAACAGTTTATTGAAATCAATTTTCAGGTGTATCAGAGAATGTAACTGAATAATAGTCCTTACACTTGATACAAGAATTTCCCCAGCACCACAGGGAATTGCTGTAAAGAGTAGTGAATTTGTACTTATAAGCCCTCAAAACTAATTGCTGAGCTCCACAATGTGAGGTAACTAAATAAATATGCCTATAACTGAAGCACCATGGGCTAACAAAAGCATCTCAATGCTAGTTTCCACGCTGTTGTGCTGTTTGGATTAATGGGTCCGATTGGCTAGTACACCATTAGGTATCATTATGATTTAGAGATTGAACAGTAATATAAAAAAAGGCAATAGGCATTATTCATAGTTTGTATTTTAGAGAATCATTGTCGTCTCTTGTTGAATATCATAGAATCATCATAGAATTATACAGCACATAAGGAGGCCATTCAGCCCATTGTGTCTGTACCGGTGCTTTGAAAAGAGCTATCCAAATCGATTCCACTCTCCCGCTCTCTCCCCATAGCCCTGCAAACTTGCTCTCCCCAAATAATTATCTACTTCTCTCTTAAAAATTGTTATCGAATCAGCTCCACCACCCTTTGAGGCAATGTATTCCAGATGCATTATGTGCCTGGGTTTTGTACAGTAATATATCCAGCTGGAATAAGTAGATTAATTTTTGGAAATTACTATATATGCTGGTACTATTTATCATGAGTGCAGGGTGATTGGAATTTTTTCCTCAACTTTCTCGAAGGTACTGTCTCTTGCTAGAGTACGCATGGTCTCACCTTTTGTACATAGTCCAAATGTTCATTTTTCATATGCAAGTTTATCCATTGTATATACTGGAAAGCAGCTTGCTCTCTAGTTTCTATGAATAACTGCTCTGTAACTTGGCCACCAGAAGTAGCATTTCTTGGGGAGGACTCTTCCAAGTTACTTGGCCTCCGCTCAGCATCTCCCTAGTGATATGCTCAAGATAGCAACATGTGAAGAATTAGAGATGCAAACATGTTTTCGTAATGCATTGAAGCATGAAAATGCTCAACTTCTCTTTCAAGTGTGTTGAAAGTACAGAATTGGGATTAGAGTAGTTCGCTGCAGTGGAGGAACCAGCACCATCTTGGGTTTGATGAGCTTGATGGGTTTTTGTGCTTTAATTCCTATGGTTCTTGGTAAACTAGAGTAAAACAGCTCTGTATAATGCTGTAAAAATGCATTGAAGTCATTTGAATCTGGTGGTAATCTTTTGGTACAGAAGGAGGCAAGAGTGATGTTACCTGAGACATTTAACATGCATGTAACATGAGGTTGTGAATGTTTCCCCGATCTAATTGTACCATTTGGAACCACACAAATTGTAATTTGCTCCAAGAATGAGATTTTTAAAAATCAATTTTGATATCTATTATTTTAGTTATATAATCCAAATATTGAAATTTGGGGCAAATACCAGTGTGTATCAGAATTCAGTCTCCTTAAAACCTTTTATTTTGTCTTTACAGCATGCACAGAATTACAGCCTGTTCTGAGTGTCTCCAGATGAGTTGCTGCTTCATTTTACCTATGAAGGCTGGTTGCTGATAGAAAGGGACTGTTTGGAAAATGCTCCCGGGTGTAGGTGTGTTTGGGACAGGTAGCACTGCGCGGGTCTTGGTACCTCTGTTGCGAGCAGAAGGCTTCACTATCGAGGCACTCTGGGGAAGAACAGAGGAAGAAGCCAAGCAGCTGGCAGAGGAAATGAACATTTCCTTCTACACAAGCCGGACTGATGATGTTTTGCTCCATCAGGATGTGGATCTTGTCTGCATCAATATACCACCCCCTCTCACACGCCAGATTGCTGTCAAAGCACTAGGTACGGTATTTCCTTTCTAATTACTGTAAGAAAGCTTTTGATGTAACAGTGATATACTTTTATGGTGAAGGCTTTAAGGGAACCTCACTGCAATGCTGCTCTTCTACCATTTTGTGTGTAAAGTGTTTGAAAAGAAATGCAGTAAATTATTTAAGTGGTTATATTTTTATAAAGAGTCTATTTTTCTCCATTCCTCTGATGGGATCTTACCCCTTTCTTGACCATTGTGACAAGCAAATGATATGGTACTTTGCTCTTGTCTTGGCAGAATTACATACTATCTTGTTCTTAGGATGTGTGTATAAGAAGCCTAGATAACTAACTTTTGATTTTCTCTATCTTTACTCCTTTTCCCCCCACCCCATCTATGGGTAAGAATCTGACATGCTATTCCTTTCCTGGTGAAATCTAATTTGCACAGTACAAGCAACCCCAAATTCTGCTGCTTTGATGGCACAAAACATTTGATAATTAGTGATCACCAATGGTCCAGATTATGGTAGGAAATGTTGCAATGTGCTTTCGCTTCTTCTGCAGTTCTTTTTAGTTGTGGTATATTGTTATCAAACAATTATCCATTAGGTTGTTGCTGCTCTAGGCATGATCATTCTTGCAAAGAAGCTGATTTGTGCTGGGTTACAGTTTCACAGTACTTTGCCCAATTGTTTTTATTCTTCCAGCCCAGGAGATGCTGAGTGCAGTTGCCGTGCTCCAATTAGTGCTCTGGCTAAAATCAGTAAATTCAGCACTGAATAAGACTCAAAGTTGCAGCCTTCTAATCTTTATTGTTTAGTACATTTACCCAGTACATCATTAGGGGAGTATAAAGTATCGTACGGTATATAGTAAAGTCTTATTACAAAGACTACTGTATACCGCAACAAGATTAGATTTTAATTCCTGGTGTGAAATTTGTTGCATTGCATAAACACCAGGATAATGTGCTTTAGCTCCCGACTGTCAAACTGCAATTCTTAGGTTTGTCCTGGATTATTGTAGTTTTCACAATCTATCTAAAAACAGTTCTGAATCATTAAATGTTTGCAAAGTTGGCATGTTCACTTGAATTGCTGGTGAACAATAGGGCATAAAAATGAGCATACATGCTTTTAGAGCCCAATGGAAAGTTAATTTTAAACAAATATGCTTTTAAAATAAATCACAGCTATGAAGTATTAGCTAAGAGGTGGTATAGCAGCTTGAAGTGTATTTAAACACTTTCCTGAGTCTCCAGCAGTAATTGTTTCCTTGATTAGACTCAGCAATAATTCAGCTTCCTTGAATAGGTTCCAGGAATGATTCCGTTTCTTTGAGTAGATTTTAAGTAGTTGCGTGCCTTTCATGTGTGCACATGAAGCTTTAATGGCAGCTAGTAAAATACTGTACCCTCAAAAGCTTTTTACTGATGGATTTCTGCCTGGCATTTTGTAAAAGTGAAATTTTATGAAGGGTCCAAAACACTGACTGTCCACTGCCTTGGGACGTCCTCCCGATTTAAAAGGTGCTATACAAATGTAATTTTGTTTTTGATATTGCATGCACTTGTACATAACTCAAACTCCCAGTTTGGAGATTAAAAAGACATGTATATAAGGCAATTCAATATCTGATTTTACTGCATTGATGTTCAAATTACCTTTTTTTTAAATTCAACATTCTAACCCCGCAGCACTGCTTTCGGCTTCACATTTTCTTTCTGGACCTTTGTCAAAATAAGCCTTTCCATGAGGTTATCACAATGAGGTTATTCTCGTGTTATCTTATGTATATTAATGCCTGGAACAGTATGGATGACTGCCTGCCAAGAACTAGCCTGTTTTGTGTGTTTTTTTAATCTTTGCCTTATTTTCAGATGGCATAACTGAGGAGCTTGACATTTTCCAGAAGGGTTAATAAAGATGTATCTGTTCTGCCTATTCTCCGGCTTCCGGTGGCCTTGCAGATTGAATAATTGAGGCAAATCTTTTGTGACAGTTTTGATGTCAAGTGGATGTTTAAACTACAAGAATCAAATTGAGTGGGGTTGGTTGTGGGAGACTTGTGCTCTGAAGAACTCCTATGGAGACCTAGATTCTCAAGAATGAAAACATTGTATTTTTTTGGCCATTTTCCTTTCCCATCTGCTCCTGAAATTGGTGACTCTTCAAGGGTGCTGGTATCCTGCTGGTTCAAATAGTTTTCTTTCATGTATAAGTATAGATACTGAGTTTCAGCTGGACCAGATTATGGTCTTTACCCAACAGGTATGCTTTCTAGGTAATGCTAGGAAACAATATCACCTCTGGTACAGTGTCAATTGTCAGTGTTGTCCTAGCTAAGATCAGCCAATAACACAGATTGGTATTTGTAACCTCCTGGGCTGCAAGATTGGTGATCATTTAATTTTGGAGGGATTGGAAGTGATATCTAAGGTTCTTCTGGGAGGAGTAGATATGCATGTGTGGGGTTCATACAGCTATGTATTCTCTCTTAGCCCTATTGAGGGTACCTGCAACCATAGAAACTCTGACCTAACTGCTGCCCTACTTTATAGCATCCAAACTGCAGATAAAATTATGGTGGGAGATGACAACTAAATGGTAAGTTTCAATATTCAGAAAAATAAAGTGAACCTGGAATATGTCAAACATAAGTCAAGTGTGATGTAAAAAGTTGTTGGATATGAACCTCATTCTGCATGTAGAATGCTATATAATTTGACTATTGCCTGTGCATTTTGAAATCTCCTTCGCTTTTGGAACAAAGATTACATTCAACAACTTGCTAAATCGTATCCACCACTTCCCCTGAATGTCTGGCTGGTATATTTTTGTAGAATTGTTGCTTGTTGAGGCAAAAGCAGTAAACTTTATATAGAATGGTAGCTTGTTAATCAGGCGAAGTGAAGCTATAGAGCTTACATTCTACTGCAAATGACCACACTTCTATTGTCTCCTCTCTGGGGCTCCCGTTGGAATGAAGTTAAGCAGTCTTGCTTCTTGGCCAACCTGTTGTGAGTTTACTGCTAAGTTGGGGCAATCACCAGGCACAAAACTGTAGTAACAAGGCACACCCTGAATATAAAAGAGCAGTACAGTCACATGAAAGCATAATGTTGTGCCCATGCATACTAAAAACAGGTGCTGAGCAGCGTGCAATGTTTTTAAATCTGATTTGTTCATGAATGGATTGAAAAACTCCAGTAAGTTAATCAGTTCTTTATTTGACATGGACTTTATTAATATTAACTATTAATATTTGTCTCTTCTGCTGCCACATCCAAATGATTAAATCTGTTATTTCCTTTTAAGATAAGTGTTCTAGCCAAGTTAATAGTTTTATGTAAAGTCTGAAGTAGAAGTGCAGCTGATGAGCACAGTTCAGAGGTGCTTTGGGATTTTTTTTGAAAAATGGTCTCCAGTGTTTGTTATGAAGATTAAAACTCGGGTGTGATAAATAATAAAAATACAAAAGTCCCAAGTAGGAGATCTGTGGGGAAAATGTATATTTGTATGGTCTGGGGAGAGCTTCAAATCAAATTTAGCTGTAGTGACTGTGGTGTTACAATAACTGCTACAACAGGTAAATCTCCACAAAGGACTGGGAATTAATCTTTCACAATTAATATGCATTAACATTAATCTGTGTTTATCCAAATGAGTAAGCTTTGCTAACTGTTCCCTTACACCCTCTAAAAATCTAGAGCATAGTTCTCTATGTTGAACTATCTAAGAATTTGATCCGGTTGCAGGCATTAGACTTGAACTCCTTGAACATATTCAAGACTGAGATAGATAGATTTCTTATTGCAAAAGGGATTAAGGGATATGGGGATAAGGCAGGGTCAGGTTATTAGCTGGAGTCAGATTAGAAGATCAGCCATAATTGAATGGTGGGGCAGGCTCGAAGGGCCGAATGGCCTACTCCCGCTCCTACCTGTTATGTTATCTCTGATGTCTGTTCTACCAGGACATGGTTCCTGTTCCAAAGGGTGGCGATCAACCATCTCATAAGCAAAAATGTCAAAGCCAGGGTTGCCAACAATTTTTTCAACTCTTCCTGGTTTTTCAAGTTTTTAATCAGATCACTTGGACCACTTTGGTAATGGGTAACAGTTGATATCTAAGTTGAAACCTTATTGTTGATCCCTCCAGGATAGGTGTAGTCTGAAGGCTTTTTCCTGTTGTTCAGCTATTGTCGGATGCACATCTGTGAGGAAGGAATGTGACGCTTGCTAACTTCTTGTGATAATTAACTCCAGTTTCCTGGCAGACCCAATTCCTGTACAAAGTGATGGTGGCATTTAAGTTTTCTAAATTCCCAAAGCTTGCCTCTCACTTGTCCATATAGACTTTTGGCTTGCAGTGTAATGGAGTCAGTAAATTGAAGGTAAATAATGTTGTGCAATTACAATATTGTAACCAGGAATAGAACCATCGGATTGAGCAACGTAGGTATATAGGAGTCCTGTAGCTCAGTGGTCAGAGCACTCGTCTCGCAAGCGAGAGACCTGGGTTCGATTCTTGGCAGGGTGAAATCTTGGGCAAGATTCCTTACTCCACACGCCTGATAATAATCCCTCAAGAAAAAAAAACAATAATAATTTGGTCACTTAATCCACAACTGTTTGTGGGACACTGCTGTGCGCAATTGGCTGCTGTGTTTCACCTACAAAATGTACAGTCAATTCACTTTACAGTATATTCTGTGAACTGCTTTGAGACATCTAGAAGATGTGAAAAGCACAATATCAGATGCAAGTATTATTATAATGGTATGTCTGATCTATCGCTAGCAAAAAAGTAATGACAAAAGAAAAATGGTGCTATAAATAAAATTGAATTAGACTGTACAGGAAATCTTTTAAAAGGTACTATGTGATTTCACTTATGTTTCTGTTCAGATTTGTTCGCAAAAACAATAATCCTGTTAGATTGATGGATTCATAGAATCATCATAGTATTATACAGCAAAGAAGGAAGGCCATTCGGCCCACTGTGTCTGTGCCGTCTCTTTGAAAAGAGCTATCCAATTGAATCCCATTCCCCCACTTTCTCCCCATAGCCCTGCAAACTTGTCCTCCCCAAATAATTATCTACTTCTCTCTTAAAAGTTGTTATCGAATCGGCTTCCACCACCCTTTCAGGCAATGCATTCCAGATCTGAACAACTTGAACAATTCTAATTTATTGTTAGGAATCAAGATCCTTGGTGAAGGGACACAGGCAGAAGTGCAGTACCAAAAATAAGACTAATCCTGACATTTGATTTAGTGTCTTATCACATCTTTGAGACATCTCAAAGCGCTTCACAGAATATACTGTAAAGTGAATTCAATGTATATTTTGTGTGGGTGAAACCAACATGAAGAGCAACAGTAAAATCACTTGTGTTGTGGTCAATTTAAGCAAGTTTAAGAAAATGTTTCAAATGTAGAGATCCTGGGATTGAGTGAGTTAGTAGAAGATGGGGGTAGTGAGTGTTAATTTCAATATAGGAGGAGAAAGATAATCTTGCCAACATACTTGAAAGGATCAAGAAATAAAACTTCAGAGGAGCAATGATCATAGCCTCAACCATAAAATCTACTATACATAAAGTGAGAGATTTGTTTTTACAAGAGATATGATGCTTTATAACATTTCAATGTTTCTGTTAAATTTTCTCCCCTCTCCTGAAGGTGTTTGCTCCTTTTACCACTTGGAGTACAATCCCAGGTGCTAGCTTGTTTCAGTACCTCATCAAAGTGGTCATTGCTTTAGTGTGAACCTGACGGTGAATGTTAACGGGCTCTTATACCGCAGGGATCTTATAGTGGAGTTCGATTCTATCCCCTGATGTTCACACTCGCACACCTTCCGGCAGGAAGACTGGCACCTGTGAACCCATAATCCCAACAGGAAGAAACAGGAATCTAAATGCCTTCGGGAGAAGAGAAAATTGACAGGGGAGAGAAAAACCTTGCTTTATTGTCTGTTTTATTTAATTAAGTTTTGTCCTCCCCCAGGTATTGGGAAGAATGTTATCTGTGAGAAAGCAGCTACTTCAGTCGATGCCTTTAAAATGGTGACAGCGGCTCGTTACTATCCCAAACTCATGAGCATTGTGGGTAATGTGCTGCGTTTCCTGCCTGCATTTATCAAGATGAAGCAGCTGATTGACGAAGGTTATATTGGCAATGTAATGATCTGTGACGTACGTGTATATTGGGGCAGCCTCCTCAGCAACAAGTACAACTGGATCTGTGATGAACTGATGGGCGGTGGTGGACTTCACACGATGGGCACCTATATTGTGGACCTCCTGACTCACTTGACCAATCGTCGGGCCGAGAAGGTCCACGGGCTCCTGCAAACCTTTGTCAAACAGAGCGATAACATCAACGGGATCCGACATGTCACCAGTGACGATTTCTGCTTCTTCCAGATGCTGATGAAAGGTGGTGTCTGTAGCACAGTTACGCTTAATTTTAACATGCCTGGCTCGTTTGTCCACGAGGTCATGGTTGTGGGATCATCCGGACGTCTGGTTGCTCGAGGCGCAGACCTGTACGGGCAGAAGAATACTTCCTTCCAAGAAGAATTGCTGCTTGTCGATACCATGGCAGTAAGCACCGCTGGGCTGCTGGAGAAAGCTTTCAGCGAGATCCCCCTCTTGTATTTGAAAGGAATCGTTTACATGGTGCAAGCCTTAAGCAAGTCCTTTCAGGATCAGGAGGACCGTCGCACGTGGGATGGCAATCCCGTCTCCATGGCTGCCTGTTTTGAAGACGGGCTGTACATGCAAAGCGTTGTGGATGCTATTAAGAGATCGAGCCGATCTGGAGAGTGGGAGGTTATTGCAGTAATGACGGAAGAACCCGATTCCAATCAGAATCTATGTGAGGCCTTGCACCGTAACAACCTGTGATGCAGGAAATATCTCACCAAAAACTGAACTTTTTATTTTTTTGGAAGTTGTTGTCCTTAAAGTACCAAAAAAGTTCAGGTTAATTTTGCAACTGCATCAGGGGTTTATTTAAGGTGTTTGTTCTTACTCTAGAATTCACTGATTTTTAGCTTCAGCACATAGAGCTGAAAAGATGAGATCAAGTGGGTCAGAGGACCTTATTTATCTGTACCTCTCTGTGAACTATGTGAAAATACCCCGTCCAGGCCTCTTGGCATTCGTTTTGAGATTTTTAATATGAATTATGTCTGCTGTTCACACAGCTGTTTTATTTTCAGCTTGTAGAATGTCCAATAGTAGCTGACACCAAGGTGAGAACAATGGAGGAGGCCTGAAAGTGGTGAGCACTTTGTTCCTAAAATAACTATGAATAAAGCTGGTCTATTCAGCACTTGCCCTTACCTTATGCATTGGTTGTAAGTGGAAATGCTGTTGAGACTGTAAGTCAAATTCCTGGTGGCTAGATTGGCCATTGAGTGTAAATCCTGTACTGCTCAGTCATACACTGTTGCCTTTATGTAGACTTCAATTCATTCAAACACAAAAGAATCCTAACATAGGTTGAGCTAATTTCTCTCATTCTATTGAAATCCAAATGCTGCATTAATTGACTTGTCTGAAATATTTATATAAACCTATGTTTAAATCCACTTGCCTGCATGCAAGTGATGACAGCCTTAGGTGAGTTGTGGGTTGTAATTGTGACTTGGCAGTCTGATTATGTAGTATGTTTGAGAGGGGCTGGCAATAGCCCAATTTTTTCCACTTTTAGAATAGCAGTTGTGTGAAAATTCTCATGCAATGAAATCTTTACATTTCCCAGGCTTTCTTTTGATAGCTTTGATTAGAGAAGGTGGGCTGTGTAATCTGTGGTAGCTGTGATGATCCACTGAGATAGAAAAAGGTAGCAATTTATGGGTACCAGACTCTTTGTGATGTCTCCTCGCTCCCTTTCCTTAATATATACCATGGATATCTATGCATATTCATACATGCATATCCATATCAAACCCTACTTTTCTTTTTTTAAAGTTCTGATGCTCTGTGTGGTCTTGCTCTCATGGCATAACTGAATGTGATTATTCACTACAGTCAATGATCTATGATACTATGTGAAATAATTTGCAATCATTGTTTTGAATGGCAAGCGCTTTGTTTAAGTCCTTTGCAAGTCAACTGTTGACTTGTTTGCTGAAAGTTGTTTTTATAAACCACATGAGTTGGTTTTACTTTGACACTTAATATGTCTTGAGCAGTCACACTAATAAGGTGGGGGAAGAAAGAAACACAGTTTTTCTTTTTTGTTTCATTTCAATGTTTACTAAATAGCAGATCACTTCAAGCAAAACTGCCCAGTATTTGCTTTATGTAGTAAAACTCATGATGAGGGCAGAACTGCACTGGGGGGAAGGGGGAGATTAGGCTCTTAGCAATTCCAGCCTAAGGTAACATGTTTGTGTGTTAATTTGCAAGAGGAATGCTGTGGTTTATGATTCATTAGAAATTATAAAGAAGCTATATTTTTTTTCTAGTTCCGTTAAGTCATTCAGTGTCCATTGTATTTGAAGTCGCATTGCAAAAATGGCTGGGATGTTTTTGTATTGTACTCCATTTGTTTTATGTTTTATAATGTTAGTAATGTGCTTAAAAACAAGTTAGGGTATTGTAATGATCATTCAAACAGTTTTATGGACCCACAGGTCTGTCTTGTTTTTAATATATCAAGTTGCATATTTTTCTGTAGTTGTTAAAAAAAGAAAAAAAAAATTCAATCTCTTTGTGTATGTTGACTGGAAGAATGGATATTTATTACAGTCTTGGGTGATTTTATTCAAACTGCTTTAATTTACATAAACAGTTTAAGTTGGGATGTTAGTGTTCAAATACACAGCTGGATTATTTCATTGAAAGTCACACAAACTGTATAAATAATTGATCAACAATAGATATTTATTTTTGGTTATAAATTCAGATCTATGGGTTATTTATATTGAGGCTCATTTGTTTTTTTCTTTTGATGGGAACTGAAGCATTAAATCTGAGGTAGATTTTATTTTGAGCATTTCAAACGGGGAATGTTTATTTAAAAATATTTTTCTGTAATTGTACTTGTAGTATTCTGGTAATATATACAGGGTTTGGGGAGATAGATTTGTGTCCGTATTACGTACTTTGTGTTTTACCTGTATAGATTTTCTATACAAAGAATAATAATACTTTGGTATTCTAATGGATAATGGAGGCACAGGCTAATTGTGCTTCGGACATAGACTTTTGATGTCCTTTTTAAAAAAAAAAACAAAAGGTAGTATTCAAGCAGTACAAACAAAATTTGGAACTAAACACTGAATTAATACCTATCAGCATCTCTAATGCTGTATTTTTCTGCATCTAAGAACCCTAGGCTCCACTGTACTTCAGAAATATTAAGTGCTCCAGGTTCTAGCATGTTGGTTAAAACTCTTGTTGGGAATGTTTCTGAGCCAGATTAATTATTGCTGTCAGAAATAAAACCATTGATGTATTTTTAAATTGTTTTCTGTGTGGTGGTTAATGTAACTGTCATGTGATAATTGCAAGAATGTGATGTGCAACCTATTTCCCGGCACTATTCATTTGATGATTTCATCATCCAATATGTGCTCATATGTGGTTTACCAATCATACGAAATGTGACCTCTAGAATACTGGGATACCCCAAAGGTCACCTATCACCAGTGAGATACCATTTTCATGACGTGTAACTGTCTCAAGTTGTTTCACATCACCTAGTTTTGTGCTGATGCTGCTGCTTTCTTCTACAGCCAAATCCGGAGGGCTAAACTCATCACAAAAAATTAAAAATCCTCAGAAATCGCAAACTACAGCCTCTGAAATCCCCACAATTAATCCTAAACAATTACACCAACCAAATAGCTACAACTTCATTATTACACAATACATTAGCAGTGGTTAAAGTTGGATTTTGAGAGAAATACTCCAACCCTGTTTATTCTGCTATTAATATTCTTTGAATATTATACTGTAATCTTCATTCAATGTTAATCTGTGCAAAGATATTCGCAGATGTTATTCCAAACATTTCTCTTCCTCACACACTGAGCAAATAAAAACTTCATATTTACACAGTGATGCAGCATGGAAACGGGTCATTCGTCCTAACCTGTGTATAAACCAGTGTTTATAAACCCTGCTATACCCAGATTTTCTCTTCTCCATATATGCATTGTGTTTTCTCTTAATTGATGCTATTTGGTTCCATGTTTGGATGTAAAATCCAAATTTCATATTTGTATAATCAAATGCTTACTTGAGTATAGTATTGTTTCAAAGTACTGTATCAAACGTTTGGTACTTTATCTTACACGTTTTCACAGCGAGTTTTGTTTTGTGGATACTTCACATCAAACTTTTTTAACAATGAGAAACCATCTGTTTGTGTGGCCAGTTTGAGTTGTTCACCATTTGTTTGCACATAATAGGGTGAGGACAGAATTGGGTTCAACTGTGATTTTTCTCTCACTCCTTTCTCCAGTTAACTAGCCTGCCAATGCTTGCTCACATGATAAATATGATTATTTGAGCCAGTGAGCAAACAGCATTGGATCTGTATCCAAGCAAGGACTTGGCACCCTTAAATAAGTGGCATAGAGGGGAGGAGATTTTTTTTTTTTGAACCTTTTTTTTGGTGGGGTGGTCCTGAACCTGCACATTTGTCTACACTCCTTACATAGGCACGCTAGACTTCACTGCCTGCAACAGTTTATAGTGGTCTCCCATAGAGCTTTTGAAATGAAAGTTAATATTACTGGGACCAGGATTGAACCTGCACAGCAACTAGATGTCAACCTGGCTCAATTATTAGCATTCTCATCTCTGAGTCAGAGGGTTGGTTGTTCAAGCTCCACGTCTGAACTATGAACTTGTGTAGTCTGGGCTGACACATCAATACAGTGCTGGTGAGGTGCCACGTTGTTGGAGGTGCTATTTTTGGATGAGGTGAACTAAGGCCCAGTGTTTGTGCCTGTTCGTGTAGGCGTTAAAGACCCCTTGGCACTACTCACCAAGAGAAGAGAGATTCTCTCGGTGTCCTGATCAACAGTCCCTCAAATAAAATGAGCAATTCACTTCATGGCTGTTTGTATATTTTGTAGGTAAATGAGGCAGCCAACTAGCAAACAGTAATGTCCCACAATCATTTTACAGTAATATCCCGTGAAGCGCTTTGATGCATCGTACTGAGCTAAAAAGCTCTATGTGAAACATGTAAGTATTATATCTAATATCCCAGATTAGGACTGCAAAGAAGAGCTGAAGCATTGGCTGTTTGGTTGTTTCAATAAAAGGTCTGAAGCCACTAAAAAATGTAACTGTCATCGCAAGCTACAATAGGAAATTTCTCAGTTCCTGTTTTGGGAAGCTCTTCCTCATTAACAATTTTTCTTTGTAGTTGAGTGGCCTGGAGTCAGCGGGACCTGACTGAGCAAGCAGATAACAAGAGGAAGTACAAAGTAGTGTATGAGGTAAAAAAACAGAAATGAGTACACACAGTGTTTATGGCTTTTAAATGGTTTGTGAGTGATATCACTGAAATCCACATTCCACATTGGATCATTTGGTTGCAGGCTTAGCTGCAATGGGTACAGCTAGTTTATAATAAATGAAACCGGCAGAGAAATGCAACCCTTCTCTGCAAAAAAAAATACACTAAGCAAGCGAACTGCCAATTTACTGCTGAAGGAAAAGGTCCTATGTTCACATCTCTTCATGCTGTGAGTGGAAGTGTGAAAGATGCATTCAGGTCTAATTGGCATATGGTTTCTGAATGCTATATTGTACCATTGAAACCTGCAGGCGTTGGTTCTCTATTGTGTCAATCAATGTAAAATCTTTTAACAGAGTTGTTTTCTCAATCTTTTTCCCCCATTCGCCCCAACTTTCATTCTATTGCAGTGCTCTCACTGGTGGAAGAAATCTTCCAACTCACTTCAAGGCTGTGTTTCCTTTGTGATTTGAAAGAAGAAGGTGAAAAATGTAATCTTGTTACATGCCCAAACCTAGGGAGACCTTGACTTCGACCTCCTTGACCTGCCTGCCTTCCAGGTGAAAAATGGAAATAAGAAATAGAATTTTAGTCGTTGGAAGAAATAAATGTTCTGAATTTCATTTGAGGACAAAAGCTTGTTTAAACATTAACCAGCATTCAGTGCCGGTTGGAAAAGTTCTGCTACTGTAACTAAACACAGGTGCAGAACTCTCTCAAGCCTGAAAGCACTATTCGGAGAGGACAATTTTCAGTATTCCTGTGCTTTGCTGCTGGTGTCACTATCACAGTGCAAATACTAGCTGGGTACAGTACAATATGTGCAACTTTTATCGACTTCTTGTTACAAACTATGGTGTTTCAAATCCCGAAGACAATGTCCGCATTGTGTTGCCATCAGAATGTCTCAAGGCAGCCAACTCACCTGAATGCTGGATAATAATAATCCTTGCAAAATTCATACCCTTTCTCAGTAAAATTATAGCAAGGCTATGTATGGTATGGTTTTATATGTATCTGAGCTTTGAGTTTCACTGAAAGCCAACATTTAAGATTGATGCATGTTCACTTTATTGCACCATTTGCAATAATATAGTTTATTGCGTTCTTCCCGTTACACTGGAGTCGGAGGGCAAAGATGCATTTTTGGTAGTCACAGAGGCTTACAATCAAAATCCTTAAGGTGGAGAAATAAGTAGAATCAACACTTCGCAACTGCTTAATAACATGCAAGTCAGCTGGCAACTTTGAACAAGAGTATGTACTTCATCTGAAACAGCACCACAATAATTGGCAAACTATACCGTTGCCCAGAAAACACTTATTTATGAGAACTCATTTCTTTGTAAGGGAATCTATTCTTGATTATAACTAAAGTTAGTAAGAAGAATTCTTAGTGACTGACCTAATCTTTACAACTAAAGTAATACTCCTCTCCTACTACTTGCAGTAAAATTTGCAATCAAGTACATTGAGAAGTTAATTTTATAGATGAATACCTTTTAAACAATGTAACTGATGTGCGTTTAAAGCTGTTCCATTATAATGACTCCTGGTCAGATAAACTATACACAATAGTGATCCTTTTCTACTTGAAGTGATGTGTATCTTTCTGTTGTTCTTGTATTTATTTTATTTAAAACCTTTCCCATCGCTTTCTCTATTTACTTATGCACAAATGTAAATTATGTGCAAATTTTGTATATCTTTGTGTTGCAATTACCTGGTGTTGCGTATTTTTAAAAAAAGTTAAATTGTAAACTCACACTAACTACTGAAAAAAATCTTGCAATGTTTTTACTATATCTGATTAATTAACATTTTGGCTGTGGAGACAGTGGAGGTACCAAAGGAGCTGCACAAATACTAAGCATCTTGTTTATATCCAGAGAGACTTGCGTTGACTTGTTGGGTTGTAGTTTCTCTGGTGTGCCTAAGGAAAGGCTTGGTGAAGTTCGCAAAAGGGAATCCTCTTTATTTTGATTACCTGTGTTAATAAAAAGATACTTATTAAATGGACGCCATTTGTCCAAGAACTTATTCTGTGATGACAAAGAGTTTGAGCAGAAATCCTTGCCTTTGTTTTTGCACAGATGCCACATGAATATTCCTTACATTTGCTTGCACAATTTCCAGCAGTGAACAGAGGAGTTGCACCATAAAAATATGGAATTTGTTGGCTACAGCAGCCAGTGAAATTTGGTCTGCTGCCAAGTTGTATAATGTGTCCAAATGACCTCCACAACGAATCTTGCCTTTTATACACAAGTATACTCATTTCAAAGGTCAGATTTCGTGGGGGCGTTTGATTTGATCTGCTGAAAAGCCATGGCAAAAGATTCAGTAACATAGAGGCAGATGTCTCAAATATCTTCTGGCTAAGGTCAGCACATGCAGAACTCACAGGCTGAGTGTAGGATTATTCTGCCTTGTGACTGTTCACACTGTGAGTGCTGGTGATCATGTAGAGCCAGGTGAGGGAGTGCTAACTGACAAGTCACCTCAAAGCACTTGTCCTGGCAGGAGAACAAGGCCAACTGGCCCCTGTCCTGTGTCTTCTATTGCGCTTGTGCTTGCAGCGGGCGTGTTACCTGGCTGTTGAACTGTTGGATGGCTCGGAACAGATGGCTTTGTTTTGTTCTCATTAATATTTTCTGATGTATCGTGTTCCTCCTTAACAATATCCGGGACAGGGAGTATATTAAATTCTGGGTTATCAAAATTGATGTAGTGGTATAACAATCTCCGCTGTTTACCTATAGGCACTATAAAACAAAGCACAGTACAACAAAAAGAGAAAACTAGAAAGTACTTGAGTTACGTTTAAAACTTGTGTAACAATTAATATAATATTAACCATAATTCAAGAGCAGGCAGCTCGGATGAAGAACCTTGGAACCACGGTAGTGATAGCTTTGTTATATAAACTTTGATAAACAAATGTTTCTCTTGATCCCAAGTCAAAGTCCATTACAATCATCAGGATAGCTCAAACTCTGCAAAATTACCCCTGATAAGAGTCAATTTGCTGAATGAATTGCAGGATGCAAGAATAAGCTTGCGCTGTGGAATTGCAGATCATGTGAAAGGCACAGAAATTAGATTTTGTTTTAATAGAAAGCACGAGTTTCTTATGTCTTTAAAAAGCAACAAAAAAAACCTTCAATGGAAACGTCTACATTTGCAGTGTTTTGAAAAGCACTTTTTAGTTGGAATTGTGAAAAACGTTAAGAAAATGAAGTTAGATATTTATTGAATAACTTCCCTAGTTGTCTGGTGGGTATCGCTTGGTGGACTGGAACAAAACCGTGGACTTCAGAAAGTCACACATGCAAATCCAGGTTTGTGCTGAGGCAGCAGTCGAGAGCTACAATCAGGGTTGGTGCCCTCTGGGTGAGATAAGGTAAAACAACAACAAACAACCACCTGCATTTATACAGCGCTCTTCTTGCGGAGCAGCATCCCGGAGAGCTTGGCAGTGTCAGAGTCTGACGCCAACCCAGGGGGAGAGGGATGTGAAAGGTGACCATAAGCACGATCAAAAAGGAACATCTTTAGGCGGGATTTGAAATTGGGGCGGGAGGGGGCAAGGTGAAGGGATTGTGGGAGAGTTCCAGAGCAGAGTGGCTGGGTCAGGGTTACCCCCTCATCGCCTCCATCAAGTGACCAGACGTTGAAAGTGTGCATGTGCTGAGGGCAAATTCAGTGATAAGCCTGTGGTAAAATGATGCACACTTTGGTTCCTGGTACACACTGAATTTACGTGTGAATTATAGCCACTTGGGTGGATACTGCACCTGATTTGTCTTGAAGAGGAAAAAGGAATAGAATGGCAAAGAATAATTCAACAATGGCTTTTCACGTCTACACAGCCACTATTTACACATCTGAGTTTGCTATCATTATATAGTAAACTATTATCTGACATTGCACAACCTTTGATTAGTCATTACTGCCTCTTTAAAGAACAAAACATGCTGGTCACTAAAATAGTAATAGTCCTTGCATTTGATATTATGCCTATTATGTCAAAATATTTCAAAGTACTTCATAATTACTGTACAGTAACTGTTTTTCCTAGAGAAGTTGTGCACTGCAAGGTCCCATAACAAACCATGAGGTAAATAATCAGTTAATGTGGAGGAATAGGGGCAAGACACCAGTAGAAACTATAATAAATAATAATCCTTGCATTTCATATAGTGTCTTATCAGGTCTTTGAGATATCTCAAAGCGCTTCACAGAATACACTGTAAAGTGTAGTGACTGTATATTTTGTGGGGGAAACGTGGCAGCCCATTGTGCACAACAGTGTCCCACAACAGTTATGGATTGAGTGATCAAATAACTTTTTAAAGGGATTATTACCCCCGGAAAAGCGATCCGCCAATCGACTAACAAACAGGTTGCTACCTACTGCTTGGTAAACAGGCGTGTGGAATAAGGAAACTTGCTCAACGTCTCGCCCTGCCTGAGGACTGAACCCAGGTGCTCACTGCTTGCGAAGGGAAGGCTCTAACCACTAAGCTCCAGGACTCGATAGCAATCAAAGCAAAAAGTGCATCATTCCCTTCGATCGCAGATATGTTTTAAATGGAGTCATAGAAAGCTGGAGCAACGAAAACAGGCTATTCTGCCTGTAGTGTTTACACCAGACACATTTATCTACTGTATCCATTTATACCTATTCTTGTTTCTATTGTATCTATTGTATCCAGTCTTCTACGTATTGTAGCATTATTGTATGTATTGTAGCATTATTGTATGTATTGTAGCTGTACTGTATGTATTGTAGCTATATCAGAATCATAGAATCTTACACACAAGATCCCAACTCTTCTCTCAATGTCAAATAGTCTATGTCTCATCTGAAGGACAACACCTCTGACAATACTGGAGTGTCAGCCTAGACTATCAGCTCAAGTCCCAACATGGGGTGTGAATCCACAGCCTTCCGTCTCCGAGGTGGGTGTGCTGTGAGCTGAGCCAAAATGATACCGAAAGTAGTTTGTCAGTGGCATAGGAGAGCATCAATGCTCATCTACAGCTTAGCCCAAGAAATACACAGGAATCCGTTCTTTTTTCTGTCTTACATATTTTGTTAGTGTTTTCGAGAGCTGTGGTGGAGGCCTTTGGAGAAATGGCTGGGTTATTTTGTACCACAACCCCATCGTTGCGTCTCTTTTTTTTAAGAGCTCTCTTCTGCTGTGGGGTAACGGGGAGAAGATCTGTTTTGCTGCAATCACAATCATTCCCTTTATTGCAGTGTTCTCTTGTGAAGTCCTGGTGTTGAAAAATATGAACCTCTGCACTGGCCCTGGAGATACAAACCACATGCAATTAATAATGACTAACCAAAATATTACAAAATGCAAGGATACTTGAAGGAAAGCATTGAATAATAATAATAACATATTATGGAATTGATCCCACAAACAAGGGTACTGAGGAACTCAGGCTTGTCGAGTTAAGACAGTTGTGTAGATCTCGCTCAAAAGTGTAATACATTCTGTCGTTAATGTTTTAGTATGTTTATTCATCCGCATTTCGGTTGCACTCGTCTAGTCAGCTGTAATTGCAGGAGCACCAATCCCACCCATGACTTTACGTGAAACCCATTTCATCTCTTCCAGAGGTAACCATCAACTGGGGAATCCCATTTGTTGAGATTAAAATTGGAATTCATGACCAGATACAATCCACACTTAACGTATTTTAATACCTTGTAATGAACTAGTTGTAATAATCCTTAAATTTGATATATACAGTCTTTCATGTTGGGAGGACATTACAAAGCATTTCACAGTATATCATAACAACAACTTCACTTCTATTTTGTAGGTGAACCCAGTAGCCAACTTGTGCACAACAATATCTTGTAAACAGTCATGAAGTGAACGACGATTTTATTTGGAGGATTGATTGTCGGCTAGGACACTGGTTGAAATTCCCTTTTCTTTTCAAAATTGTGCCATGGGATTTTTAACATCCAGCTGAAAAGGCAGACGGGACCTCAATTTATTGCCTCATCTAAAGGACAGCACGTACCACAATGCGGCATCCCGGCCCGCAAACTACCAGAGTGTCAAATTTATACTTTGATTTCAATGTCTCAATGTGAGGCTTGAACCACAGCCTTCTAACTGGGAGGCCAGGGTGCTATCAAATGAACCAGTCTGACATACACATTTCTGGCTCCCTTTTTTTGGCATTTATAAATGAACAAGAATATAAATACAACACGTCCTCCCGACGTGAAAAGCGCTATATCAAATGCAAGGATTATTATTATTATTATAAATAACCAGCCTGGCTCACTGCTAACCTCCGTGACAAGGCACAGTTCCCACATTTTGCAAATTTCTTTTAAAAATATGTCTAGAGGATTTACAATACCAGCGAGTCTCAGAAGTAGACATTTAGAAAATTATTAAAATCTACACTGGCATGAGACCTTGCATTGAGATCCCATCTTCCTGTTCAGTTGAACATTAAAGATCCCATGGCACTATTTGACAACAGAAGGGAGTTTCTCCCAGGGACCTGGCCAGCAATCCCCTAGAATAAATTTGGTTGCACATTTTATGGCTATTTATGGGATGTTGCTTTGTGCAAACTGGCTGCCACTTCCACCCATAAACAGTAAATCCTGTAAAGAGCTTTCAGGCTTTTCAAACAAGAGATAAAGCACTATATCAACAGCAAAGATTATTATTACCAGCTAAAAAGCAGCTGTAGGATTGAGTGATGATTGTTGCAGGAACTACACTGAAGGTAAGTAACACAAACAAGTCTGCTGAAAATCAATAATAGTGTTCAGTCGGGCTGACCTCTCATGAGCAGCATAATAAAGCTTACTTAGATTTAGGGATTTTGCGGTAAACAGACAAACTTGTGAAACGTAAATCTTATTAACCTTTCACATTTTAACTAAAAAATTAAATATGCTCAATAATTTTTTTTCAAAAGGGCAATTTGTTTAAATACCTAATATTACAAATACTATTGGGTTTCAGCGCCTTGGGACATCCTCCCGACATGAAAGGCGCTCTCTAAATGTAATTTGTTGTTGTTGTCAGCCCAGCTCCCTTTGTAGCACATTTGTTTCTGGATCTAACAATTCAAGGTTTAATACAACACAAATTTAAGGTTTAGATCGCATATACAACAACAACTTGCACTTATATAGTGCCCTCCGATGCAGGGTAGCGTCTCAGAGTGCTGAAAATATCAGGGTAACGGGCAGTGTAGGCTGGAAATCCAGTGCTTTACTAGCGGAGGGCTACACTGTTGGAATGCCAAACTTTGAACAAGAGATCTTGCCAACCTGTGAAGCGCTTTCGTACAATTTGACTGAATAACGTACTTTAAAAATCCAGGTTCTTTAGTTTCACCGCAAACGTAAAACACTTGCAAATTATGTTAATGCACTTTTGATAGACATCATGGTCGATCAGATCACTTGTAGCCCGTGAACTCTCTGCATCACACAGAACAGCAAAAAGAGCCTGAATTCTGTAGCTAATTCGCAATGATAATGAATCCTTAAAATACATTTATCATTTGAGAGTACACTGTAATTGCCTCCAACTTTATGATGTAATTCTTACCACTCTGACACAACATTCCTAACAGTAACAAGCCTATGCGCTGTTTGTTTGTTTGTTTATGCTATTTTTCAATGCTTTTGAGAATTTGTTATGTGATTTTGCAAATTACTATTAGTAATGTTTTCAAATATTCTCATGGTAAAACATTGTCTACCGCTTGCTCTACAGAAGTAAAAATCCTTTTTCTCCAACAACTTTATCTGATTATTCCTAAGCGTTCTTTCTGTGATATGCAGTTATTATTTTATAAAAATGTATCTGAAAGCAACAGTGGAAATTGGGTACCTTATGTGCTATGTATATCCTAATATCAATGCAAATCCTGGCAAGCCATTTGTTCCTCAAGATATTTGGTCCACAACAGCATTTGCAATGATTATTTAGTGTGTCCTCGCAATGCAAGATGTCAACTTTATTGATTCGGGTGGGGATAATACTTATGTTGTCAGCTACATACTTTGCCATCTTCTTTTTAAATCCATAAGTGCACAGTAAGCTGTGAAGCATTGAGATACTCTGGTAGTTCTTCAGTTCAGGCAGAAACTCCCCATACAGTTTCATTTCCTCTTCATAGACCTTGGCATTCACCAGAACTGCTTTCCCTTTCTCATCCCACTGAAATGGCAAGAACGCACCAGAAAGTGTCATTTCATCCCCCAAAAAGCAAGGGGAAAGTTACCTGCTCAGTGAGTGAGTGAGTGAGTGAGTGAGTTCAAACTGCAATGCAGCAGAATACACTCAAGTACATTACACCACTTCAAATGGTCGGCTGCAAACAAAGTGTGAAAACAAATTCGAAGTTTTTGCTTTTATAAATCGCTCGCCTTTTCACAGTAAAAGTTTTCATACAGATGGTTCAGTCAGTCTTGGAACTGAGCCAGGAATGAGAGCGTTGACTGCACTTGCTCACTCCCCTCGCTGCCAGCACCATGTAACAGGGATCAGCAGACAATCGGTTCACTAAACTGTACTCGTTTTCTCGTATCAACACCTGAAAGCGTGTGGAGTCCACCTGGACGTGACATTTCTGAGAATGACCAACACAAGCCCTGTGGGCCCTGAGCAATTCCAGTGGCATTTTCACCTTCTGGAACGTGGATTCAGAGGTGGTTCAGGCTGGTGGGGAGAGGACTTTTCAATCTGTCGGCTCAGAGCAAAAAAAAAATCAGTTTTGGATAGTTCTCACACAAAGCTCGTTCTGATTTTACAAATTAAAAAATTTAGAGCTGGCCATAGGATTGCTCCCCGGCTGGTTTCTCGCTGTGGCAGATATTTACCCCTGTAGGATTGCTGGTTGAAAGGTAGCACTGATAGATATGATATATATATAATATATTATATATATTTTAAAAATCCTTCCCCTCCCTCCTATATTACATGGCAGTAATATAGAAGAATCCTTATGTGTGAATACAGCACCAATAACTGAAGCCAAACGCACAGTTACTATCCTTTACAGGAAATCCTGTGAAGCACTTTGAAGCACTATAATAATGGAAGGACTCAAAGCACTTCACGGAGAACTGTTGTCAAGTATAGTGACTGCATATTTTCACATTGCAGTAATTTTGCCTACAAACATGGACACCGCACTCGACAGTAAACCCTATAAAGCTTTCAGATATTTCAATGATGTGATAAGGTGATATCAAATGCAAAATATTATTATTATATAGAGCAGTGGAGGCTGAATGGGAGGATTTAAAAGACATTGAGTCAGATTGGGTCAGCACTGAAGCCAATTGATTGAAGAGAGAGCTTGGATGAGTGTAATGTTATTGGAGGGTTGACTAACTGGACTGATGAGGGTTCCTTCTCAGCTGGTTATCTGCAGCTGAGAAAAGAGACGACAGACTGGCCAGAACCTACCTACCTTTACTGTCTGTTGGAGGTCGGTCGGGTGAGTAAATGGTTCAGAGCCACAGAAGGCTCAGGAAGAGGCGGAAGGAAGGAATAAGAGTAGAAATTGAAAGGACCCAGTGAGAGTGACAGAGGGGGAGCAGAGTAAAGGGGGGAAGAGTGGGGGCAGCTCCAATGGTGGGGTGGATAGAGCTGGGATTTATGGCCTGGGATCTTGCCAGGTGTGGGGGGAGGAGGTTAAATTGGCTTTGACACACCACCAAGGCTCACACATGAATAGTGGCCATGAGGAGGGAGGGGACCAGGAGTAGAGTCAACTGGTCAACTGGGAGAGGATTAGAAGCAGCTGTTGTGCTTGTGCTCTCTGGAACTCAGTCTCTCCTCCTTCTAAACCCACCTTAACACCTCCCCCACCCCCCCACCATGTGCTTTTTGTCCATCTCTTTTTTCCCCCATTTCCCCTCTGTCCTCCTGAGCTCAGTCTCCCAGTCAGTTACATGACAGGTACCACATTAATGTGAGTTGTTGTCATGTGTGGAGCTGCTCTCACTCTCACACCACCTGCTCCAGACAGACAGACAGACAGTCAGAGTGTATTTGTTCAAACGTGTTGGGGTTCTCTCTCTCTCTCTGTGTCTGTGTATCTGTCTTTTTGTCTCTCCCTCTGTGTCTGTCTCTATGTGTCTGTCTTTATCTCTGTGTCTCTCTCTCTATGTCTCTCTCTCTGTGTCTGTCTCTATGTGTGTGTCTCTGTGTCTCTGTCTCTCTGTGTCTCTGTCTGTATGTGTGTGTAGAGGGTGAAGGCTCTGGTGGTGTTGAGGTATCGCTATCGTTAGTGGGTGTGTGTGTGTGTAGAGGGTGTGGGTGTGTGTGAGTGAGTGTGTGGGGTGTGTGGTGTGGGTGTGTGTAGAGGTGTGTGTGTGGTGTGTGTGTGTGTGTGTGGGGTGAGTGTGTGTGTGTGGTGTGTGTGTGTGTGGAGTGTGTGTGTGTGTGTGGGTGAGTGTGTGTGTGTGTGGGGTGTGTGTGTGTGTGTGTGGGTGTGTGTGTGGGTGAGTGTGTGTGTGGTGTGTGTGTGGTGTGTGTGTGTGTGTGTGGGGTGAGTGTGAGTGTGTGGCAGAGACTCACAGTGAAGGCGCGCACCTCCGGCCTCTCCAGCATTGCCCAGAGTTTGGCCAGAAAGCGGGGGCTCAGGTCAGTCCTACTCTCCGGGGACGACATCACCACCAGGTGTGACTTCCAGAGAGGACCGAGGAGGGGAGAGAGAGAGAGAGAGAGCGAGAACTCTAGAGCGAGGCGTGTGGTCACCATCGTAACCATAGTTACAGGATGCGACCTGTACACACCCCCTGAACCCCTTCTCACCAAACATTGCCCCCCACCCCTCACCCCCCCTGTCTCCTGTTAACCGAGCAGTAAGTAAGGAAACGGTTCCGTTAGTCCATCGGCGGAACGCTTTCTGTCGATTTATAACCGCTCCGGGGGGGGGGAAATAATAATAATAATAATAATAATTTGGTCACTCGATCCACCCGGAGCACCGCCGGGCGCCATCGGCTGCCACGTTTCGTCCGCAGATTACGCAGTTACTGCACCTTTTGTGTCGGTATGTTCTGCGAAGCCCTTCGAGACGTCTCGCGGACGTGATAAGGCGCTCTGTCAAACGCGAGGAGTTGTTGTTGTTGTTGGTGTTGTTGATGATAATAATAATAAATGTTGCGTTGCCCCGAGTCCTGTCGATTCGAGTAACGAATCTGTCGCCCTGTGCCGGAAAGTGGGCGACGGTGGGGGGAGAACGCGCCGTTCAATTCATCTGCCATTTTATTCAACACGGGCGTCAGCCTTGCTCGGTCGTTGGCAATCTCTCTCTCACCTCTGAGTCAGAAGGTTATGGGTTCGAGTCCCTCCTCGGGACTTTGAACTCAGTCTAGGCTGACGCTCCAATACGGTTTGGGTTTCAAACTTCCTCCAAATGGAGAGAGAGAAAAAAAATTCAGATTTTAAGTTTTGTTTCTGTTTTTTTTTTAAAAAAAATTTCGATCTACTTTCAAATTCTAATGACGTTGTTTACAAGGTGCTGCGTGACCAGCTGACAGCACCGATACCTTCACTTCGCGAGCGCGCAGTTACTCAGGCGCAGGGCGTAGGAAATGACATCATTGGCGATCTCACGACCGAGACACGGCCTGGGATGGAAAGCGGGTAAATTCAGAACAAATCTGCGGAAACAGTGAGCGGGTAGTAAACTTACTCCCGAGGGAGGCAGACGGCGGAAGCAGAAAATGTTGTTTGTTTCGAGAACAAATTAGATAGATTTCTGCTAGAAAATAATATCTCGGAGAATGCAGTATATACAGTTTGGGACACGTGTCAAGCGACTGCCAAGATGGTGGTAGATGAACGAGACGGACCTTGGCCTTCTTTCGCCAGCAAATTCTTATGAAGTCGGCCATTCTTGCAGTGGAACCGATCAGTAAATCTCATTTAAAAAAAAGGTAAAATAAATATATTATCTGTTGTAATTTTTTTTGGAAAAATCAACTATAAAACAGCAGCCCTAAAACATAGAGGTAACCACCAGAGGGCAGTCACAGAAGCTTTGCCTCGGAAACTCAATGCTTATACGGTACTTAGAAATCACAATAAAATGTCTTATATAAGAAATGAACTGTATCTAAAATAGATTTATACCTCAGGCAGTGGCAGCAAAAATGAACATTTTGGTAAATTGTTCAGCACAATTTCTAAACCAGACTCATTGTCACGTTCTGTTTCCCACTGTTCCCCTCATCAAACACTTTGTATGTTCAGTTTCCTCAACAAGGTTAGATGTGAGGTCTCAAAATACCTGTTTGCTGATTCTAGGCTCTACTGTTATTAATCGTTCCAACACAAACTTGCCCCAATTGGAAGAGGTTGCAAGTGCACATGGTTCAGAAGTGCCCGGTTCAAAATGCCTCCCTGCCACCACACATGCCAATGGTGGAGCCCACCTCATCAAGATACCTGAACGCCTTTGGGTCCACCTGGAATACTGGCTTTCTGCAAGTTCTCCCATAATGGTTGCCTGAGAAATTCTCCAAGAGAATTGAAGCCAACCATGATCAAGAGTCAGGAGGATTTCCTGTCCATGTTTTTGTTGGCACTCACCCGTAACTGCTCCACTATATTAAATTTATCCTAAAATAACCTAGTGAAAACCTGTCTGCCCACGCATATATGTGAAGTTCTCACTCAGAGGTGCAATAAATTCTGTATCCTGCACCTTCCCATCAAGAACCCAATGTCTACACTACAAAGTGGTGTTAAAAAATACCCGAATGTATGTTTTATTTAGCAATAATGTACTAACAAGATCAGAAGAGGAGTTTGGATGAAAAAAAGCTCTATGGTTCACATCCTAGAGTAAGGAGGCAGTGCACAGAAGAGCAGTGTTGATGATTCTGAACCCGTTACCGATCTTGGTAACATTACAATCACTAATTAACCTTTTATTCTGTTCTCCTTATTAGTGAAGTCCCCTCCACAGGTCTATATCGGCTTCCTATGCCTTTATGTGAAAAGTCTGTCATGCCTTGTTGATCAGTTATGTTTGTAAAATTCCTATTAGCTAGGGTTGAAATTGCAAAAATATGAGGAAGTACAGCCTTGGCATATATTTAACTGAGTTCTTATTTATTTATGTGTCTTAAGCTATTTATGTCTCTGCTTCCCTGGCTGCTTGGGCCTCTAATCTTTAGAAGTATATTAATAAGTGTTGTTGATGTGTGCGTGCGTGTCCTTTCTCCTGCTCAA